GGGCTGCCATATTCCATTCTCCCTGAATGGACATCATCAGGGCAGGTATGTGGACAACTCCGTTCATTTTTCTTTTTCTCTACAGGGGCCTCTTGCTACATATATTTTGGATCCTGCTCTGTGGCGAGTGGTGCCTGACCAGATATACTTAGTCTTAAAATCCGCAGTGTATGTCCTGTGACCATATTAGATATTTATCACATTGAGGCTCTTCTTACCATGGATCTGATGTACAATTCCAGATGCCACCAGGTGTTTGTTGATTGAGTTTGTCCAATTGTCATCTATGCATTGATATCACAAATATTACATGAAACTTCATAAAACATCACATGATCATGTTATGCACACCTTACAGATGAGATGTTCATTAGAACCATTCGTAGTTATATCTTGTGGTCTATTGTTTCATAAATATGTTCATTCCAGACTATACACTCATGAACTTGCATGAGTAAAGCAGTCAGGGATTACTGCTCATCTCTGATGCTTCACTACGTTGAGACTTTTCCTACCATGGACCTGATGTATAATTCCAGACACTGCCAAGTGTTTGTTGATTGACTCCATCAATGTGGTAGCTCTACTTTTCAAAATATGGTAACATGGCACCCATTGCACAGTTTCCAGTGTTGCAGTCCTCCAGACTCTCCAATGCACCCCCCTTTCTTATTGTGGAGTATTGAAGTCCCAGTTCCTAGCTGCTGGGGTGGCAAACCATGGAGACCAGTCCTACTGAATGAAGCACAATACCAGCCAGTTGAGAGTAGGGCAGTGGCATTCTGCTGGTAACAATGGTGTGACACCCTTCCTATCACAGATCTGATGTACAATTCCAGAAGCTGCCAGGTGTTCATTGTAGCACTCAGCCATATATATATATATATATTGCAGTTTGCACCTTTGGCAGAAATATTTCTTCTTTTTACTGTCCTCGGATGTCAGTTCCCACTTGCATCAGGTGTTGGTTGGAGATAGTACAGCTACACAAGTCCTCACATGTGTTTGCTGGTTCTCTCCCCTACTATGGACTGGATGATAAATTCCCAATGCTGCCAGGTTTTGGACTGGAGATGTAACCCTAAATTGATGTCCTTCTTCATCTTCCTACCATCTGTTGGATGAAACATCATTTACCTGCATGTGTAAGCCTGGCTTCCCTGTTCTTACCGTTGACTGTATGTAACATTGCCATTGTTGCCTGATTTTGGACCGGAGATGGATGCCTCCTGAGCTCTGCTTATTTCCTACCATCTGCTGGATGTCAGTTCCCAGCAGTTGTGGACACATGCAGAGTTGGGTTCTTGGTATAAATGCTCATATTCCCATCCATTACCCATTTTTTGAGGTGAAAAGTAGAAGACCCTGTTCCTTCTGTGGACCTGATGTACAATTCCAGATGGCACCCAGTGTTGGTTGAGGTCAAACTCCCATTTACAGTTTGTTGTACCCTAGCCACTTGACACCTGGAACTCCCTTTTCTGCTCAACATATTTTAGGGCCCTTCCATGTTTCTGCCCTTTAAGTTTTGGAAACACATTCCTGAGGGGTGAAGAGTATACCTGGCTCAGAAGTTGTGCGGTCTCCCACTGGTGTGATGTTTTGCATTCCTTACCACGCCTCATTGTCCTTCTATGGGTGCTTTCTCAAGGGGAATCATATTCTCACTGGCCCTTCACCAGCTCAATGTGGGATTTTAGCTTTTTGTGAGAGTAGGTGAGATACTGTAACAGATGTTAACATTTTCCAAATATGGTGTTTAAATGATAACTGTATTTGGAAAAACTTTTCATTAGGAATATTCTGTAATGTTTTTTCTTTTGTGACAGGTTACTTTCATTTATTTCTAAAGACATATTAGGCAACAATGAAAGTGGTCAAGCCTGTGATAACTTGTAATACCATTCTATCAATTTGTTTTACATAAAATAAACTACTGATAAATTAAATCTGAAGTAATTTGTCAGTTAAAATTCCAAATAATAATGATATATTTGGATTTCTCCCTAAAACTTGTGAAATCATGCAGAAGACTGTTCCTAAAAAATATTTAATCATGATGTGAATCAACTTGCATGATGACCTTTACACACTGTAACTGTGTGGTATATCCAGATCAAGCTGATTTCCTTTGTTGCTTTGAAATTGGTCTGCATAATAACAGGAGATTCAATAAGATATTTATTGCATAGTAATTGTCTGAATACTTGGCTTTTTGAGAATGAAGTAAAGAGATTGGACACAATGTAAAATACAAAAGCGTAGTCTTTGTTATAACACATTGACAAACACATTATCTGCAGCACTTACTTTGGACAATGGACCATCTCTTGTGCCATATTCAAACTATTTTCTCCAACTGATCAGACAGAGATCGTCTACCAGACTGTTTAAACCTAATATTCCTTACTTCACAGGTAACATCAGATTTACATAGAGTGACTAGCACTATCCATGTGACTGTTCATTCTCATTCAAACATATGAAAGGCCGTAATCTCGAGGTATCACCTGATATACTGCTGAAGGTCACTACTGTCTACATTCTTGCACAATGTGCAGCATTGCACCCGTACCTTCCATGGATTGGACAGATGTGACCTCATTAGAATGACAAGGAACAAAAGCATTTAGAACAACTTTTTTAACAGTTTATTATGTGAAAACTACACATGCTATGAAATAGCTGATACATTTAGCATAATACTATATTAACATAAAAAGTTAGAAAATACATGGCATTTTGGCATTTGTATACCCACAAGTGATTGAACTTTTAGTCTTTTCAAAGCTGGTGGTCATGAATGTCAAGAATGATGTGCTGTAGTCAGCAGAAAGGTGTGGAATTTCTTTTAGTATGCAGTCTGCTTGCTATTTATTTGGAACCATTGTTTGTGTAAATATCCTTTAATTAGTGGTTGCAAGAGCCCAGTTTAATTGCTCTTTCCATGGAATCATTACATTTATCTATTATTTAGCAGATAGTCTCACAAAGTGACAGTAATTTTATATGAATCAATGTAAGATATTTGTAATTTTATTAAAATCATGGAAACCTTCACTTGAAAGAAGATGTTATATTAGTTCTTAAATGTCACTATTACATTATGCCTTCCTCTACTCTCATTATTTCAGTTTTTGTATAACCAGTTTAAATATCTTACAACACTAATATCTGGTGGGCCCATTGTGACTCCAGCTATTTTTGGTTTCTGATAGTTAGTTAGAATAGATGTCAATGATTATGACTATTGTGATGTAGCACAATACCAGTGTTATGTCACCAAAATGTCCTTAAAAATGTGACTTTCTTGGAAATGTGTGGTTGATAATGATATGCTCCAGAAGATAATTTTTTTTTATATGCAATATATTGTATCTTTGTAGTAAATGGTAAGGAGTATAAAGCCATACAGAACTGAGCTTTATTAATGAACAAATGTTCTTAAAATTAATTTTTAGTGTTTTGTAATAAAAAAGTTTATGTTCATTGTCTTACATCACATTTATCTATAAAATATATATATGAAATTTTAATAGTTGACTTTTGGAAATAATAATTTTTTTGTTGTTAATTTTTGGTAACTTTCAGGAACTAACCTTTATTGGAGAGACCTAGATGATGCACATTTTAATATTTGTAAAAACAGAAATAGGTGAGTTATTTTTACATTGTTTATAGGGTATATGAGGATTGCTCATTGAAATAAATTGATAAAAATATAGACAATTCTACTATGTAGTTCTTGTTAAATAGAAAAAAATTAAATAACTTATATAATATAGTTGAATTCTGAAATTTGTTTTACAGGATTTTTCCAGTTTCTACAAGCCAAACTTCTAGTCCTTTGCATCATGCACATTCAACTGCTTATTCATGTCCCACAATACCCAGTGAAACTCCTGTTGTTACAAAATCAACCCAAACAGAGCCATTGGTAGCTAAGTTATCATATGATAATCAGTTATCAAACTGGATGTGCCAAAATGAGGATGTGCAGGAAAAAACTTCTTTATGTGCTTTGTCAGAGAAGGTGCCGGAACATCACATAGGGATATTCAATAATATTCATGGATACAAAAATAATGTTCCTCCTCGTACATCATTCGTCTACAGAAATCGAAGTTTCACTTTCCCTTCAGTAGAAGGCAGAAACAGTTTACCATATTGTGAAGACAAAATTAGTGCTAAGAATGTAGATTGTAATGAAACTTCTAAAAAATATTCTCAGAAAGCAAAAAATTTCCAACCAGTTCCAACAAAACTAGATGACATAAGGTGGATCCAGAATTCTAGAGATGGCAGTGAACCATTCAATAAAGAAGTTAGGTTTGTATGTCACTCAGTTGATTTATTCTCGTATAGTGGTAGCAAGTGGCTATGAAACCAATATTTCTTGTAGTTGAAGCTGTACAATGCTTTAATATTGCTTAGAAATGGAAAGTTAAGAATCTTATTGCAGCTTTAAAAAGTTAAATAGGAAAATTACCTTTCAGTTTCTACTACCATTAGTTACACCTGTAGCATAAGATGTTGCTAATTCTTTATTATTAGATTTTGCCATTTGTTTTAGCAAAATATGAAATACAGTCATTAAATATATAGGTAGGTATATAATTATGTGATACTTTAGATTGAACTGATTTCCATTAGAATGGCAAGATAAGTTTGCAAAATAACAAAATATTTGACCAAAGTATTTATTACCAAGTAATTTTGAGTAACTGAGTTTGTGAGAAGAAAATAAAGAGACTGACACATTTGTATAAAGGTACAATGAACAATATTTATTATTCACAAATATATTATATGTACTTCCTTCATACAAAAGGCATTTAATTTTACTGTATTTAAGCTACTTTTCTCTCCAAACTGCCTTTGATGAAATCCTATTCCAGATTGAATAAACCTTACCTTTTTAAATGGTAACGTCAGACTTACCCAGGGTGACTAGCACTACTTACATGATTGGTCATTCCTTTTAGAAAATAAGGGAGGTTTTAACTTCCAGGTACCAGCTGACTTATCATTGGAGGAAACTGCTGTCTATTTTCACGCATACTAGGTGCATCTATACAGCCATACTCCCATGGAGAGACCAGGTATTAATCTAAAGGAAATGACTAAAAAGAAAGGAAGCTAGAGAGAGAAAGCAAGAGAAAGACTTTCTTAGCCAGTGTAATATGAAAAGTGCACATGCGCCTGAATAATTGAATTTTTTTTTAAATTCCCATATTAAAATAAGAAGATTGAAAGTTCGTGGTATGCTTGGTAAATCTACAAAAAGTTACAAAAAATAACTCAGTTTGGCATTCATTGACATTTACAAAATACTGAACAGCTGCATCAGATTTTTAACTTGTATGCCTTTTAGCTTTTTACAATAACTGTGAAAGTGGGTTTATAACCTTTAATAATTAGTCACTACCATAAAAATGGTCACCCAGTTACTTTCTGGTTGGTGATAAAATATTAATAAACATATTTCAACTACATGTACTAAATGAGAAGAGTAAATTACAAATTATTCCAACTCTTAAGCATGCATATTTAAAATGTTCCTAGCAAAAAGTGTGTTAAAGCACTGGTCATTATAAAAGAAGTGTAGGTGAACATACTTTATAAAAATATAATTATTCTTGATTTCCGTTTTAGAATATTTGTTATCTTTATAAGTTATTTGGTACACTAAGGTCTCTAAATCTATTTTTCAATGAAAATTATGGTGGCCATTGAATGCAGCAAATATCTACTGCTGTTTTTTTAACATATTTTAGCATTTTCTTTGCTCTGCACTCTAGATTTGTCACTTAATTTGTTATGGTTTTATACTGGAAACTACATTCTAGCTGCTGTTGAAAACTTTAAAAGTAAATATAACTTGTCAATATATTTCAGTTTTTGAGCAGTTTAAAGCAAGCATACACCAACATTTTATATAAAAAAGAAAGCATAAAAGTGTAACTTCTAGAATTGATGTTTGGGAGAGTGGAATGTTTGCAATGTCATAGGACATTTAAACTGAATTCAGATGCAAACTAGACAATCAAAATACAAAATTATATGAGGTATTACAAATTTCAGCCATGACAAGACTAACAATTACCAACTTGTGTTTTGTGGTGAATGAAGGGCACATATATGCAGTTTTGTACCTCACAACATTTGCCATCTGTATGTCTGTACAAGTGCTCCACTAGTCAATATTTGATTTTCATCCATGTTCATTTCAGCATATTGTGCATCACAGTAGCTATTGGATTGGTGATCCAATGTCCTTAGATCAGTCACCTTTGTCCTATATAGAGGGCCCTTTGTAGGCCCTAAACAGGAATATCTTTGCCCCACATGATGAATATTAATTACATTATTTATGCTAACTAATACTAATACACTTGTTAAAAAATCAATTGTACTCATAAACTAACACAGATGCACTGGTACCTTTCTCAAACCATGTATACTCTGTATGTACTGCAATTAACAACTAGTCATTGCACTGCGTGTGTACTTACTGAGGTCTTGCTGCTGCAATTTTGAAACATCCATCTATTAATGAATGATGCTTTTGATTGATCTTATTGAGAATGTTTTTTTTTCAAATGATTATAATACTAGAAATAAGCAAATGTCAAAGTTTTGATAGAAAAATAATTTAAAACTTCCTGTGAATTGAGATCCTTTGAGCTGCTTGGAACCCTAAGAAATTGCTTAATCTGCTTATTCCTAACAATGCCACTACCAGTAGATGATGTCCTTCACAGAAGAGTCGACAAGTGTCACATGAGGGATTGACTCAATGAGTCTCCGTTCTTATATAACATGGGACCTGGCATGGCCAGGTGATTAAGGTGCTCAACTCGTAATCTGCGGGTCATGGGTTTGAATCCCCCTCACACTAAACATGCTCGCCCTTTCAGCTGTGGGGGCATTATAATGTGAAGGTCAGTCCCACTATTCATTGGTAAAAGAGTAGCCCAAGAGCTGGTGGTGATGACTAGCTGCCTTCCATCTAGTCTTTCACTGCTAAATTAGGGACAGCTAGTGCAGATAACCCTCATGTAACTTTGTACAAACTTCCAAACAAACCAAACTTATATAACATGCTCCTTGACTCTTTAAACTGTTGGTACTATTTCTTGATAGAATTCTTAACTGGTGAATCACACCCGCTATGATATTTTCTTTGCACTAGAATAGGTAGTTTCACCCCTGCTAGCCACAGGATGCATATAGCCTTCTCTGCCTCAGTGTTTGTTAATGATGTATTTGGTGACTATGCATGCATTATTCATGGTTACACTTATTATGGCAAAGACTGCATACAGGTGCAATTCATCCACCACAAACTGTAATCTAAGCTCATAATAGTTGCTATTTTTTTCCTGGCATAAGTTTGTAATTCATCACATAATTTTTGGATACCCAGTATATGAGCCAATTTGTTGCTACCATTGGTCAAATTATCATTCTTTCCACCAGTCATGTCACATTCTCCTCAATCCTCTCAGGTAACACATAAATCCCTGCAAAAACCAGTGTAAGCTGACAAAATATGAAAAACATAGGTTTTTGAAATGTGATTCATTCCATCTGAGCTACTTTTGTAGATTAATCCTCCAAGACTTTCTTCACACTGAATAAGACAGTTTTTGCCCATTTCACCTTTGTTTGTTCATCATGAAGACTACCTAAATCACCTACAAATATAAAGTAATACATTTTTTGTAATTTATGAGTAAGAAGTGAAGAGAAGTGTTTTGTATGTTGTGAAATATTTTCAGTATATAACACAGTACATGTTCCTTTCAAGATCGTAAAATAAAGAGAAAAAAAAGTGGCCTTTTTATACCCTTCTCACCTAAAAGACAGACATTAGTTGTTCTGAGAGTAGGTAGATAATATGTGGATATATATATATATAATGTTCTAGATCAAATATTATTTACAAAGTAATCCTATGTGCAATTTGCTGTATAGAAATACACAGTTTATATTAAAAAAAACAAGTCAATTGCATTTCAGTAAAGTTCATAGATCTGTTATTGTTTTACTTAAAATCATATTTTTGTAATACTTATTATACTAGTGCCTTTGCAATTGGTAGAAAACAATCATATATTTCAATAGTATTATTTTATTACAAAGAAACTAGAGAAGAGTTGACTTGACAAACACTATTTAGAACAAATAAGGTCACTTAACTGAAGTTAACTTAACTTAACATAAGTTGATTTCATATCAGTACGTCTTGTTTTTTTTGTACATTATGACATACAATCTTCGAAAGAACTTGTATCTTAGGAGATGAGATCTGTATTTATGGCTGCATTACATGGAGTTGTTTAGAATTTAAGATAACAACTTGCCTTTCACTTCTCATGTCCTTCTTTACATTTTTATGTGTTTCTTATTTGACTAGAAGTTTTTTTTGTATGTTTAAATTTCACTATATTTTTATCTTTAATTTCCATGGGCTTTGTTTGTATTAAACAAGTTGTAGAGAAATTGTTGTAAAATGTATGGAAGCTATAAACTGATATTTGATTTCATCATAATAACTTCAAAAAGTTTGTATAAATGGTAATGTCACATTTTTTTAATTCATAAAAATAGCCAGTTAGTGAAACAATGGTAAATTTGTTTTATGTATAAATCATTACATAAATATCTTGTATCTCAGATACCATAGAACCCAGAAAGTTTAAAAAAAGGAAAACTGTAAGTGAATTGTGCCTACATAAATGTTAAGGTTAAAAATTCTATTATGTACAACAGGTTTTATGAAGATCTCAAGGGAAGTTCTGGACTAATGTATGTAATAACAAAACAACCTGAAAGAAAATCAAAGGTTAATGTGGTCAAGAAGAAAAAAAAAGCCAGAAAGGTATTTTATGTATGACATTTCACATATGTAAATCCATTTTAAATATAGATACGTTCTTCATTTCTTAGTGCCCATGACAAGTTTCCTTGTATGTTTAGGACTGCATAGCCATTGACTTTTAAATCATTTTACATTACATACTTATGTGGGGAGATTCTTAACAACACTTAGGTTAAATACTTTGAAGGACATTCCCTTCTAACTAGAGAACACTAGGCTAATATAACTTTAGCTATTTACACACATACCAGTTATATATAGAATTGTTCATAATGACACCTGAAATGCTCTTATTATTTTCTATAAAAAAAGCTAATGTGAATCATGAACATTTGTTTCTGTTGTTTTTTTTGTATCTGTATTAACATGTTTAGAATTTATTATAAGTATTGATCATATTTTTTTAAACTAATGTATACAATGTATTCAGTATCTTAACAATTTTTTTTGTCTGATAATTTTCTGCCTCTTCTATTGTTTTACTCTCTCTCCCTGAAAGACAGGGTAAAAGAAAAACAAGATTTATTTATAAAAACATGAAAATATGATATCGAGATTTACCTCTTCAACTTTATATTCTCTGAACTGGAAAAGATAGAACATTTTATAGCAATTAAATAGGATCTTTGTAAATTATACGTGAAGTTTATATTACTCAGCTTTACTGTAATAACAAAGACACATACCTGTTTGCTTTAAAATGTTAATAGCATCTTCAACATGCAAAATTATTACTACCCATTCTGTAAACGTTTGACACAATTAGAAACTACAAGTGACTAATTCGGATGTAATTTTCTTGATAGGAGAAACATAAGAAGAGAAATAACATTTCTAGAAACAAGAACATCATACCTGATTGTATGGAAATGTCGGAGAAAGGCAGTGCTAGTATGGAGAGTGAAGCTACTGATCTTACTTGCTCAAATGTAATCATTTCACCAAAAACTAACAATGATTCTGTATTTCCCAGTGTTCCTGACAGCTTCTTAAAACATTTAGGGCTGCACAAGGAAATTCCTTATAGGTATAGTATTTCTTAGATGAAAAAATAAACGTATTTGTATAGTTGAAAAAAAGTAATGTAAATTTAAAACAGTTTTAGCTTCATAAAATAATCACATACACATGTTTTATATTAGAACAGCACTTTTTGTGACATACAAATTTTTTTAAAGAATAATGGTTAAAGGTATATAATAATGCTACAGTAATGTTCAAGCTTTAATGACAACATTTAACTATAGTTCACAAAGTATTTCAAGTCAGAAAGATATGTTTTACAGTATGTTTTCTATCTGTGTGGAATAATTTGGAAATCGAACTACCTCTTCTCACCCAAAGCTACCACTTGACCTTGATGTGCCATCTAAGCATTGCTAAAATTTTCAACAGTGCACCAGTCTTTTATAATCCTTCATTTTTTGATGCCATTGTAGCAACTTTCATACCGCACCACCTATACTAGCACAGGTAACTCCCTCTACCATTTCAGCACAAGCCTCACTTTCTCGATTGTCATTAAAGTGTATGGACATGTGTTTCAATTCTTTCCGCATGTGACTACAAGATTTTGATTGTGCTTGATAACAAATTTATATCAGTTTCGACTTCTTGTATTCATATGAATTTTAAATTTAATATAGCAGAAGATGAAATTCCTGCCATAAGTATAATACTAGTCCCCAGGTCTAAGGGTCGACAATGTTTGCTGGGGAAGCACAGGCTTTAGTTCATGGGGAATTCATGTCTTACATTTGGCTGATGATTTTGTTTCCTTTCATGTTACAAGTTTTGTGAAGAGGGATATAACTACTGTGTAGAAATTGTATTTCTACAGCACTTTCCACCCATTACCATGCCTCCACATCATCTGCTGGGTTAGGTATTGTTCTTATCCTAGGAGATCTGTAGTAAGTTTTTCAATGTGTATTTCTCACTCCCTGTAGGTATACCCATGTTCAATGACTTTCATGTGAGTTTGTGTGGATGGACCTAATTTCTGCACTTGATATTTTATGTTATTCATGTCTTCTATGCTCAGTGTTGAGTAAGTTAGATTTTTATACTTCTTTTACCATCTAGGTTACTTTAGTTTAAACTTGTTCTTTGAGTTTGATTATTCCTTTGTGTTTTGTTTGCATTTTCACTTCTTTTCACTGTTAATGTTGTTTTGGTTGTAAGTTCCTTTTTCTTTACCACTACTCGCATCTAATTCAGGATTAGATTTGAGTTAAACTTTGTTATTACTCACTGGGTACTTTTCATTCGCATGTTCTTTAGGGTCAGTTTTATTTTCTTGTCCTTTGTCTTGTACATTCTTTGAGTGTACTTGTATATTTGATATTTAAGGGTTGTTTATCTTCTTAGTTCCTTTAGTGGTTTTGTACTTTAGGTGTGACTTATTGTTTCTATTTTAGGTCTAATTTCATATTTTTGTATGTTTGTTACTTTACGTACTTTGTAAACTTTACACGTTTCTATGTTTTCTTATTTCATTTGTAATGAGTACTTTCTCTCAGTATGTTTAGTTTATGCATCTTTTTGGCTACACTTCATGACAGTTCTGTGGGTTCTACGGATTCTGTCTGTGGGTTTCTGCCTTCTGTTTTGATCCCCTTCTATCCACTTCCCTCCTCTTCAGGATCGTACTTCGTCCAGTCATCTTGCCAAGTCTGTTCGAGACCTACTACACAAAAGAAATATTGAATGGGTGGTACCCACTCAACCAGGATTTTACTCCCATATATTTGTTCTCTCCAAAAATATGAGAGATTGGAGTCCCATTGTAGCTCTTCCTGGCTATATTCTTATCTGGAGACACCTCGCTTCACTCTGGAGTTCTACCTCTCACTTCGGTGGGTTTTTGCCCTAGTTCCACGTCATTTTTATTCAGTTCATCAATGAGGCTTCTGTCTTCCAGTTCTAGGTGCTGCTGTTCAGTCTTTCTTCACTTTTGTATGTGTTTTTTGTAGACTGGTGCCTTTGGGCCTTTTCTCCTATTCCCTTACCTTCCTTTTCCCACCTGTTCTCCAGTTCAGATCCAAATCATCTACTTTGTCCAGTTTGTTACCTGCTATGTTATAAGGCTCATACTGCCTCCTTTTATGGTTCTCATTCCTGTCTCTTTGTTCTGTGGAATTTCTCTGTTTCGCATGATTCTGTTCACTTATTATGCTAACTGGTTGGGTTCGTCAACTCGTATCACTGGTGTATTCTGACATATCCAAGGGTGGTCGCTGTCTACATCATGTTTCTTCACACCAAATTTGTCATCTAACTATGTATTTAGCTGCTCACAACCTCCATAGTTTGGAGGAAATTGTTCAGGCTAATATGTGGACAACTCCCAATACATTTGTCATCCTCTCTCTCTGCACAACATAGCTGTGTTTTCCTCAAACGGGTATCGTCTTCCTCCTGCGACAATTCTACATACATCTGTTTGCCTCTGCCTGGATGTTTTTTCCTGGGCTGACCATACTTGTTCTTCACAAAATAATATTTTTTTTTATGCAAGGCACTTCCACTAAATGTTTTCTGCCCAGATGGACTGCACTTCACATACTCAATAATATTACAAAGCACTTTTCTTGATTGTTTTTGTCTGGGTGGACTGCATTTGTTGATCTCTAGGCATCTTATGTACAAGATATGAAACAAACAATTTTATGCAAGGCACTTCCACTGAATGTTTTCTGCCTGGATGGACCACACTTGTCTTACTACATTATATCTCAAGACACTTCCTCCAGATGTTTTTACCCGAGTGAACCACACTTGTTGATCTCTAAATATATTACATTCAAGATATAAAATGAGTAACCTTATGTAAGGTGCTTCAACTGGATGTTTTCTGCCCAGGTAGACTACACTTGACATTCTCCATAATATCACAAGGCATTTTCCTCAGATGTTTTTGCCCGGGTTGACCACACTTGTTGATCACACAATCTGTTACGTACAAAATATGAAACAATAAATAGTATGCAAGGCACTTTTACTGAATATTTTCTGCCCAGATGGACCACACTTGACATAATCTGACATATACCAAGGTGCCTCTCCCCAGATATTTGCCCCATCAGATCATACTTGGTGATCTTACAGTCTCATGCAAGGTACTTCCAATATTGTTTGTGACCAGATGGACTGCATTTTGCATAATCCGATGTATCCAAAGCCCTTTCCCCCAGATGTTTTTTGCCCTGGCAGACTGCACTTGGTCTATTCATATGCATTTACAGTCATTTAGCCCTAGCCATGTATTCTCATATCTGATTCGAGGCACCTTCTTCAAATTTATGATTGGGTCACATGCTCACGCATGTTACATATATGGACATCTTACATACTATCTGTTGTCCATGAACAGAATCTGTACTACATGACATTGTACCTGTCTGTTAAGTTCTGCCCTATGTGCCTTACTTTGTTCGTTACTAGGCGAAGAGCACCTGTTCCAGAATTAGTGCTATACCCCACAGGTGTGCTTCCTTTAATAATTGTGGCACACCTGTTTTTTTCACAATAGTTGTTCTCCACTTCTTTGATTACTTTTGGACCTTCACCAACCCCTCCACCTTTGTAATGTGAGATTCTAGCTTTGGGTGAGAGGAAGTAGTACCACTTCGGAAGTTACCATTTTCTAACACTGAAAATGTATTTCCAATAGGCACTTACCTTCTGTCACCCACTTCCCACCCTTCCTCCTCACTGATTTGCCAGTGTTTCTGGTTTGTATCTGCCAATTCTTGAAAGTGAGGATTGTGCTGCAACAGTAGAGGGAGCTACCTGTGCTAGTATAGGTGGTGCAGTATGATTGGTGGAGGGTAGTCACATGATCAGCACATGTTGCTGCAGTGCTGCAAAAAATGAAGGGTTATAAAAGACTGGTGTAATGTTGAAAATTTTAGCAAAGATTAGAAGGCAAATCAAGATAGCTCTGGGTGAGAAGAGGTAAGTACCTGTAGGAAATACATTTTCGGTGTTAGAAAATGTTAACTTCAGTGCTACCATTTGAAAAAATGCACAGGATAAATTCTGTTCAACTGAAGATAATACATAAAAGAAATTAGTTGAAAGCTCAAAAATAAATTATTTACCAATTAATTATGTGTTTAATACTAAAAAAAATCAAACCTTTCATAACTAAGTAGGCCCTTAATGAGTATTGCTTAGTAGTTATTAAACATTACTTGTTCAGAGGTTATGCACATTTTTAGTTTCTTGCAAATTGCTAGATCATTTGTAAAATTTATGGTGATTAGATATAAATTAAGCCTTTCAAAACAAAACGTAGTCTTTTATGGATTTTATTTTTAACAAGGTTTATCAAACTTTTATTTATGGGCACTAGATAACTTTGTTTTGCTCAAGGAAGAAGTTGAAATCAAGTCTCACATGTACTGAGTTTTTATGGAATTTTGTATTTTACATATTTTTGTGTCACCAGTGAATTTTATTTTCTTATGTGGAATAAGTTGAAGTTATTGTTAAATTATAAAAAATAAAACAAGGAGGTTATTGAATAGAGATATGTTTTAAAAATGTTCTTGTTTTACTATATATCACAATACCAGAAGTTTACTTATGTCATTCATTATACACTGCTAGAGGCTCAGTGTTATTTTGATTACCTAAATGAATGCATACATATAAATATGTTCTATATAATTATCACTTTTGATGCTTGGAGTCGGCTTGAATGGGTAATGAAGAAAAACTTTAATATAAGTTTAACATAACAGCAACTGTACAACCTGATGATGACAAAACCTTGTCGAAACATTGTACATTAGC